CTCTGTGCCTGCAGGCTGTTCTTTTGTTTGAAATATTTCAACTGAGGACCCACCACAACTGCCTACCTGACCAGTTTCTTCCTTTTCCTCTCTCAGTTTGTGTTACAATGTCCTTACTGATTTCTGCCTGAACAAGACTGGGCACACCTTGAGAGCAAGAGGGTTTCTTTCCTCTTACCTCAGTCCCAGCTCCTCTTAAAACAATAACCAGCACAGAATAGGTGTTTGATAAATGCTTACCAAATGAAGGGATTGCCTGCAGTGACCTGGCAGACAGGAAAGTGGAATGCAAAACCACAAGCCAACGTGGCTGGGAGATTTTCCAAATGCTGGTGCTGGGCAGAAGGCCATTGAAGCTCATTTTTGGAATCTTCCCATCTGTCTTGTTCCCCTCTGATCAGGGACATTCATGCCCCTCAGAGCCCACCTAGTCACATACTACCTTTCAGGACCACCTTCCAGATAGGCCAGGTACAAGCCCCACAGACTTCCCACCTGTGGCTCAAAATGCTCAGCTGAAATTATGAGGCAATTTTCAGCAGAGTTAGAGGCTTATCCCTTTGGGGTGTAACTAGGAGTGACAATGGCTGGCTTTAAGATTCGGAAAGTTGGCCCAGCACAGTGACTCATGCCTGCAATTTCGGCACTTTGGAAGGCTGAGGTGGGTGGATCACAAGGTCAGGAGTTGGAGACCAGCCTGGCCAATATGGTGAAATCCTGTCTCTACTGAAAATACAAAAAAAAAAAATTAGCTGTGTGTGGTGGCACATGCCTGTAATCCCAGCTAATCAGGAGGCTGATGCAGGAGTATCTCTTGAACCTGGGAAGCAGAGACTGCAGTGAGCCAGGATCACACACTGTACTCTAGCCAAGTGACAGAGCAAGACCATCTTTTTTTTCTCAAAAAAAAGATATGAGAGGTAGTGTATACACCTCAAAAGAGAATCATGCTACACCAGAAATGTAGAGTTTTCCTATGTGCAGGTCTGGGGTCTCCCGGAGATAAGCAATGATAGCTCCGGGAGCACTGGGACCCACAGGCAGCCCATCTGTCACCACAGCCTAGGCAGGGGTTCGGCTCTCACTTTGGCCCCTCCTCTGCACACCCCGGGTGTGGATGGTCCCTGAGTGCCATCTCGCCTGGGCTCTGACCCTGGGTGCTGCTCCCACTGTTGTGGAGCCTCTGTGGGTGCGGGGCATGCACAGGGGGCTTCACAGGAGACCCAGGGCCCTTTAGAGTCTCAAGGCCAACATTTTTTGGAGAATCCATGTCAGGCGTTCAGGCTCTCAGGGACTCAGATGCCTAAACTATGAAAATGAGAGAATCTATCCCACTCCATCAGGTGTGTTGAGATTCATATTACATGACAGTGGGGAATCTATACATGGATCGTACTCTCAGCGTTGCCTTTATCAGTCAGCTGATGCTGAAAACCCAAAGATGGGTCAGGCACGGTGGAGGAAGAGTTCCTTTCTTACCTTCTAAAGGTGCCATCAACAGGAATTTCTCTCCTGTGGAGTCTAGAGGAGACTTTCCTTCAAGCTGAGTTGGGAATAAAGATTTGGACTTCTTTATAATTTTATTTCAAATTTTAAAAATGTTCTGATATATTATCTTTTTAGAAAGTAAAACCTCCTCAAATACAGAAAATATTAAAAAGTATAAAGAAGCAGAAGGATGGAAATTGCCTGTGTCTCCACTGGGAGGGTCAGGATGAGCCTTCGCCTGGCAGAGCCTCTGATTTCAGAGGGAAGGGGCCCTGGAGCTGCGCTCTGCAGCCGCCCCTGAGTCTCCACCCCTGGTTTCTGTGCATGCGGTGTCTGTGCAGGACTACTTAGTGTAGTCATGCTTATGAGTTACTGTGAATCTTGCTTTTCAAAACTTCATTATTAACAAGCAACTTTATATCATATTACAAAACCTTCTCACATGCTGCTTTCTTTGGAAATAGCTGTAGGCTATTTCCAAACAAAGACCTAGCCACTCTTCTTTTGTATGTTTTTTCGTTATGATAATTAATATCCTTATACCTAAAGATCTTTCTATAATTTGGATTTTGTTTTAAAATCACAGATTTCTCAAATAGAAGTTATTAGGTCAAAGGGTGTGAACATTTTAAGCCTTCTCATACATATTATCTAAGTCCTCCTCAAAAGCTGTGTGCCAATTATATTCACCCATTTATTCAACCCATATTTATTGAGCCCCTTCTCTGTACCTGGACTTCTAGATGCTGGAAATCCAAGTGGTGACTAGACAAGGTCCCTGCCTCAGAGAACATGTTGCAGTGATACAAACCACAAATGAAACAATTCTAATATTGGTGACAATTGTTATGGAGAAACATGCTAGGGCTAGAAGACTGTTGGTGGTGAGGATGGTAGGAGATATATTTTGTTGATGAAGCCTGAGAGCTTGACCACTGGTTGTTTGAGCAGAGACCTGACTGGTGTGAGGGGCGAGCCCTTTGGATCCCTGGGGAGCAGGTGCACACGGGGAGTTCCAGGGCGAGGTGCCTGAGACAGGATTGAGCAGTGTTAGTGGAGATGAGTTAGCTGGGCTGAGAGGGGTGGGATGAGGCCAGAGCAGCCAGAGGGACCCTGTGACAAGGGGCTGATAGGAAACAGTGAGAGACTGGGGTTTCACTGTGCTAAGAAGGAAGAGGCTGGAGTGTCTGTGGGACATGGTGGTGAGGATGAGCTCTAATTCCCATTTGAAAGGCTCCCTCTGCCTGTTGTGTGGGTGATGGACAGCTGAGTGAGAGGCAGCAGGAAGCCCAGCTGGGAGGCCCTCTGGTTTACCATCTTGGAGAGGATGGCTCCAGAGAGGAGGCAGTAGAGGACTGAGGAGTGATTGGATTTGGGTTAATCAGTTTTTAAGATGGTGTTAGCAGAAACTCCATGGAGAACCACACATTTATTAGCTTACTTTAGTTCTACAGCAACATTCGAGGTGGCTTACTGCAACAACCCGGTATAATAAATACATTTGAATTATTTAAAAATCTACACCAAGGAAAATATACATTTGAAAATATTAAGGCTGTAGTAAAGCCAGAACACTACTAGGCAAGAAGGAACATCTGCAACATTTGCTGAAATGGAGTTTACTGTTCACCTAGCCATAGATTTGTCGACTCATGATTTCATTGCATGAGAGAACCACGGAGGGGGTGACAGTGCAGGTCACCGGTCCCTTGTTTCCTGCTTCAGGAACAGCTGGCTGTTCTACAGCGACATTCAAAGCAAATTACATCACTCTAAGGTGTTTAATGATGACGTCAAAGTCCACAGAGTCAGCAAGTGTAAAAACCTCAGGAGTCCAAGGAGAGTCTACATTTCTCCCCAGAAATGGCCTCACTGTGCAATGTTGAAGGGAGAGGGTCCCTTCACGGGGCCCCAAGATGCAGGAGCAATTGGGCTGCAGCTCTAAATAAAGATGCCCTTTCCACCTGCAGGTTCCACGACACCTCACAGGCAACTTGGGTGATTTCACCTGAGCTAGGAATTCAGTTTTTTGACGTTGATCCTCTTTGAGCCATTGCATGAGCTTTAAATGTGATGTGGAGACTTTGCTATGCTGGTGTTTCTTGGCTGAAATTTGACATCCACGGTGCAGTGGGTTGCTCAGATTTTGGCACTGGGAATTAACAAGTGGGACGGCCACTCAGAGACCTAATTTGAAAGTCGGTAATTACAAAGATAACAGGTGGGTAAATTTACAATGACGGGAAGAAACCAGCGTAAAAAGGCTGACAATACTCAAAATCAGAATGCCTCTCCCTCTACAGAGGATCACAGTTCCTCATCAACCAGGGAACAAGGCCTGATGGACAACAAATGCATTCCAATAACAGAAATAGGCTTCAGAAGGTGGATAATAAGAAACTTCTGTGAGTTAAAAGAACATGTTCTAGCCCCATGTAAAGAAACTTAAAACTTTGAAAAAACATTTGGCGAAATCCTAACGAGAATAGACAATTTAGAGAGGATTATAAGTGAATTAATGAAACTGAAGAATACAATGCGAGAACTCCGAGAAGTATGCACAGGTTTTAACACTCCAATTGATCAAGCAGAAGAAAGGATATCAGAGGTCAAAAACCAGCTTAATGAAATGAAACGAGAAGACAAGATTAAAGAAGAAAAAGTAAAAAGGAATGAGCAAAGTCTCCAAGAAATATGGGACTATGTGAAAACACCTAATTTACGTTTGATAGGTGTACCTGAATGTCATGAAAAGAATGAATCCAAGCTGGAAAAGATTCTTCAGGATATTATTCAGGAAAACTTTCCTAACCTAGAAAGGCAGGACAATATTCAACCCCAGGTAATACAGAGACCACCACAAAGATATTCCTCAAGTAGAGCAACCCCAAGGCACATAATTGTTAGATTCACCAGGGTTGAAATAAAGGAGAAAATTCAAAGGGCAGCTAGAGAGAAAGGTCAGGTTACCCATAAAGGGAAACCTATCAGACTTACAGCAGATCTCTCAGCAGAAACCCTACAAACTAGAAGAGAGTGGGGGGTCAATATTCAATATCCTCAAAGAAAAGAATTTTCATCCCAGAATCTCATATCCAGCCAAACTAAGTTTTATAAATGAAGGAAAAATAAAATTTTTCATGAACAAGCAAGCACTCAGAGATTTCATCACCATCAGACCTGCTTTACAAGAGCTTCTGAAAGAAGCACTACACACAGAAAGGAACAACCAGTATCAGTCATCCCAAAAACTTACCAAAAGGTAAAGAGTATCTCCCTAATGAAGAATCTATATCAACTAATGGGCAAATAGTCAGCTAGCATTAAATGACAATATTAAACTCACAAATATCAATATTAATCCTAAATTTAAATGGATTAAATGCCCCAATCAAAGACACAGACATGCAAACTGAATAAAAAGTCAAAACACATCAGCATGCTGTATCTAGATCCATCTCATAAGCAAGGACACACAAAGACTCAAAACAAAGGATTGGAAGAAGACTCACCAATCAAATGGAGAGAAAAAAAACAGGAGTTGTCATTTTCGTCTCTGACAAAATAGACTTTAATAGTAACAAAGCCTAAAAGAAACAAAGAAGGACATTACATGATGATAAAAGGATCAATGCAACAATAGGAGTCAATGATCATAAATATATATGTACCCAATATAGGGACACCCAGATACATAAGACAAGTTCTTAATGACTTGTATAGAGACTTGGACTCCCGCACAATAATAGTGGGAGACTTTGAAACCACATTGTTAATATTCAACAGATCAATGAGATAGAAAATTAACAGGGACATTTATGATTAGAACTCAGACCTGGAACAAGTAAACTCAGTGAATATTTATAGAATTCTTCATCCCAGGTCCACAGAACATACATTTTTTTAGTATCACATTACACCTAAAGTGACCACATAAATGGAAGCAAATCACTCTTCAGCACCTGCACAGCGTTTCACAGATTTAAACGAAATATTGGTTGGCTGTTTGTTTATTTTCTTTCCTTATTCCTTCCTGTCTCCGCTGTTAAGCACAATTATCAGCATAAAAGAGGTTTTTAATACCTACTTTTAGATTGCATTCCAGCCTGGGCAATAGAGCAAGACTCCTGTTCTCTCTCCCCCTTTTCTCTTTCTCTTTCTTTCTTTCATTAAAAAAAAAAAAAAAACAAATACAAAATTAGCCAGGCTTGGTGGCACATGCCTGTAATTCCCGCTGCTGGGAGGGTGAGGCAGGAGAATCACTTGAACCCGGGATGCGGAGGTTTCCAAGAGCTGAGATCGCACCATTGCACTTCAGCCTGGGCAACAAGAATGAAACTCCGTCTCAAAAAAAAAAAGTTTCTCTTTAAACTATAAATTTCTTCCCAAGGCTAGTTCGGCCTACTCCCAAAAATGAACAAGGGCAGCTCAGAGTTTAGAAGCAAGATGGGGTCAGTTAGGTTTGATATCTTTCACTGTCATCATTTCCTTAATGAGGATTTTGCAAAGGCGGGTTCACCTTGGCTTCAGACCCACTGACTGGTGCGGTATCACTGTGCCCTGTCCTTCCAGCCACTGCCACTAGGTGGAAGCAGAGACAGCATCATCCAGATGGCCCGGATTCTTACGGGCTCACTGCCAGAAAGAACATTCTTGAGACTTTCAATCTGAAAGCCTGATTTCCAAAAGCTTTTGACCGTTTGCAAAATCAAGTCAATACTCCAGGAACAAGATCTGCCTCGACTTTATCTTCAGTCAAGGACGCTATGGCAACGCAGGTTTCAAGCGTGCTTTGAGAATAAATGGAACAGGGTCCCCTGTTGTCCCCACCCGATTTGCGTTTTCCTTTTGTTACAACCAAATCTCTTTTGTAAATATTGTGATACATATCTCCATTCCACTAAAAATATCTCTTTTAAAGGCACTTTAAGATTCAATGCCAGGAAAAGATGAAGGATCCTCTTGAAACAGAGTTTCTGATGCTGGGTTTTAATGACTGTGTGTGTGTGTGTGTGTGTGTGTGTGTGTGTGTGTGTGTGTGTGTGTGTGTGTGTGTGTGTGTGTGTGTGTGTGTTTAATTATTTTTTTCAATGGAAGAGCGCTCTCTATGCTACACAGGCTGGACTCCAAAGCATTCGCCTCGCTTCCGCAAGCGCCAGGACGCTTGACCTGAGCCACCGCGGCTTGAACAGTTTGGTTTTTAAAACTCTGTAACTGGCCGGGTGTGGTGGCTCATGCCTGTAATCTCAGCACTTTGGGAGGCTGAGGTGGGCAGATCACTAGGTCAGGAGATCAAGACCATCCTGGCTAACATGGTGAAACCCCGTCTCTACTAAAAATACAAACAAATTAGCTGGGCATGATGGCGCAGGCATGTAGTCCCAGCTACTCCGGAGGCTGAAGGAGGCTGAGGCAGGAGAATTGCTTGAACCCAGGAGGCAGAGATTGCAGTGAGCCAAGGTCCTGCCACTGCACTGCAGCCTGGGCAACAGTGCAAGACTCCACAAAAAACAAACAAACAAAAAAAACCTCTAACTATTTCAGTGTGGGGGCTTAGCTTCATATTCTCAAACTGGAATATTCTCTTCCTTAACGTTCACATAAATCGCAATTTATAGTTTTTATTATTTTAAACTTTTATTTATTTTTCTGTTTTGGGGACAGGGTCTCCTCCTGTCACCCAGGCTGAAGTGCAATGGCACAATCATAGTTCACTGCAGCCTGGAACTCCTGGGCTCAAGCAATCCTCCTCCCTCCGATCCCAAAGAGCTGGGATTATAGGCATGAACCACTGCAACCCACCCAAATCTAAGTTTATACTAAAAGATAAAATGCCAACATTTCAGAGAAAGGGAAAGTCACAAAGTTATCCCAGTCTCTGAACTCACTGTGAAAACTTTGGTGAGGAATCTTCCAGGTATTCCCTACTTAAAATATACATTAACATTATATAGGTGATTAGATATAATATTATATGTGATTAATGTGGCATTTTCACCCAGGCTGGAGTACAGTGGAACCATCTAAGCTCACTGCAACCTCCACCTCTGGGTTTCAAGAGATTCTCCTGCCTCAGCGTCGTGAGTAGCTGGAACTACAGGTGCCCGCCACCACACCCAAAGGGTTTCGCCATGTTGGCCAGGCTGATCTTGAATTCCTGACCTCAGGTGATCTGCCCACCTTGACCTTCCAAAGTGCTGGGATTACAGGCCTGAGCCATGTCACCCAGCCTCCTTAACCTTCTAGAAAAGGTTAAAAGTATGTTGTGTACATCTTTTCATAGCAATACTTAAAATGAATCTTACTCTTTTTAATGACTACATAGAATTTTATCCCGTAGCTGTTCTTTGGGAGAAGATTGAAATGTGCTTTACCCGCTGGGCGCTGTGGCTCATGCCTGTAATCCCAACATTTGGGAGGCCAAGGTGGGCTGATCACGAGGTAAACATGGTGAAACCCCATCTCTACTAAAATACAAAAAAAAAAAAATTATTGGGAGCTTGTAATCCCAGATGCTTGAGAAGCTGAGGCAGGGGAATCACTTCAACCAGGGAGGCAGAGAATGCAGTGAGCCAGATGGTGCCACTGCACTGCAACCTGGCGACAAACCAAGACCCCATCTCAAAAAAAAAAATGCTCTTTATCTTCACTGTGGTAGTGGAGATGTGGGTGTGTACAACAGTTAAAACTCAACAAGTTGAACATTTTAAATAGATGCAGTTTATTGCATGCGAAGTATGTCCCAACGATGATTTAAAATATTATCCTTTGGCCAGGCGCAGTGGCTCATGCCTGTAATCCCATCACTTTGGAGGGCGAGGCAGGAGGATCACAAGGTCAGAAGTTCGAGACCAGCCTGGCCAACATGGTGAAACCCCGTCTCTACTAAAAATACAAAACTTAGCTGAGTGTGCTGGCAGCCACCTGTAATCCCAGCTACTCAGGAGGCTGAGGCAGGAGAACTGCTTGTACCTAGGAGGCAGAGGTTGCAGAGGACCAAGACGATGCCACTGCACTCCAGCCTGGATGCCAGAGCAAGACTCCCATCTCAAAAAAATATAAATAAAAATATTATTCTCTTTGAGATGTGTACTTTGCTTATGTAAAATAAAACAAAAACCCTGTTCTTGGGCCCCAGAGACGCAACCTGACACATCTGGAGGAAGAGGGTCATGCTGTCTGCCTCTCACCCTCACAGGCTCTGAAATAACAGTAATAGCCCTATATTTACAAATTCAGAGAGAGAAAGCTACGGTAAAAATGTTCATAAGTAGAACTAGATAAAGGTCAAAAATAAGACATAATAAAACTATGTGTTTTAAATTTTATCTCTCCTTTACTTTTTCTCTCCCCTTTCCTTCCTGTCTTCCCTCCTTTCTTCAACACACCCCGCCCCGCCCCCCCCCCCCCCCCCCCCCGCATCCTTCCCTCCTTTCTGGACTCCCTGCTCTTGATCTCCCGTGTATTCCAGCCTCGAGGCCAACAAACGTCATCGCGGCCGCCCGGGGCAGGTCAGGGAAGGGACGCGAGGCGGCGCTGTCTCCGCATTCTGTGAGCCGAGCGACCTGGGCCCCCGGGTCTTGTATCATTTCAGTGACGGTCACTGCAGTCTTTGATGGAGGGTGTAAATTAGGATCCTCCCTGAAGTGGCGAGATCCTGAGGGGCTTTTTCCTGGCACCTTAGTTGTGGGTTTTCCTGCGGGCGGCGGAGCCTGTTTCCATCAGAACAGCCCAGAGGCGGGCGCTGCCTTCCTGGGGTGACTGAGCAGCAGGAAGCGTTTTCGGATCCAAGAATCCGTGGGCGCCCGTGGGAGGGGCTGAGGTGCATTTCCCTACTCACCCGGATCCGAATCCACCGAGTCAGAATTCAAGCGAGTCAGATTCCAGATCGCGCTCCAGCCAGGACTCGGAATTCCTGCTCCACAGCGGCGGGTGTGAGCGCCCCAAAGCTGGAAATCAGAACCCTAAAGGCAGCTCGGCCCTCCCCAGCCCACAGCGCCGTTATTCCGTTTCTATATCGGTAAACACGCTTCATTTTCCATAGCCCAGGGCGGGGTGACGGGTGATCCCAGTCTTCGCAGTGAACTGCGGGCAGTAGAATTCAAAAAGCTTGCGGGCAAAGCCGGGCGCGGTGGCTCACGCCTGTAATGCCAGTATGTTTCCGAGGTCGAGGCTGGCGGTTCACCTGAGGTAGGGAGTTCGAGATCAGCCTGACCAACATGGAGAAACCCTGTCTCTACTAAAAATACAAAATTAGCCGGGCATGGTGGCAACTGCCTGTAATCCCACCTATTCGGTAGGCTGGGGCAGGAGAATGGCTTGAACCCGGGAGGCGAAGGTCGCGGTGAGCCGAGATCGCGCCATTGCAACAAGAGCGAAACTCTGTCCCAAAAAAAAAGCTTGCGGAGCTAAGCGCAGCCCCGCCCTGCATTATGTAAGCGACAGGGCTGAGTCCTTTTTCTTTCTTTTCCGGACCCAGCAGTGACTACTAAAGTCTGCGAGAAGGAAGTCACCTTTGTGTTCCTGAGTCCCGGGGTCTAAGATCAGCGCTGAGGGAGAAAACATAGTTGATGGGGCAGAGCAGAGGAAGCTGGAGGGGGCAGTGGAAAGGGAGGGCTTCGGATAGCAGACTTGGGAGGTTTGGTGGGGGTGGGGCACCCAAGCCTGGGCGCTGAGAAGCAACTCACTTGGAGCTCAAGAACATCTCCGCCTCCCCTAGCCTGGGAGAGGACTGGCTTCATGTCTTTGCGCAACCACTTCTAAAAGCCTTGGAACAAACCTTACCTATTTATTATTATTATTGAGGTGTGAAAAGTCTTTTGCGGGGGTGAGCTGAATGAGAACCTTTGCTGGAGCTGGCACACAGAGGAAGTCCTGAGGGGAGGGTAGACACTGGAGGGAAGGGCTTGGGACCTTCATCATGAGAGCTGGGTCCTTCTCCCTCTCTGCCTCTCACTAAGCTTATGATCTTTAGCAGTGAAAATAATCTTGATATTTAGCAGTGAAAATAATCTCTCTAAGGTGGGGAAAGGACACTGGTCCCTGCAGTGCTCAATAAATTATGAGGATCAAAATAAATTATTAGTGAATATTAATGGGAAAACTAAGAAATTGTTAAAATTCTCCAATACATTACATTTTCATCCACAGAAAAGTGTAGGCTAGGGATCATAGGGAAATAGTTAACAATGACAGGTATAGTTCAAATTAAAAAGATGTTTGTGAGGCTGACAAAGAGGAAATGGACACAGTTCCTGATCCTGGAGGGTTCATAGTCTAATGGGGGAGGGTAGAAGATGGCAGATGACAGCTGGGTGTGGTGTCGCTTGCCTGTAGTCCCAGCTACTCAGAAGGCTATGGTGGGAGGATTGCTTGAGCCCAGGCATTGGAGGCTGCAGTGAGCTATAATCCCGCCACTGCACTCCACCTGGGTGACAGAGTGAGGCCAAAAAAAAGATTCAAGGCAGGGCACAGTCACTACCATCAGGAAGGTTGAAACCATGAGCTAGATCAGGAGCTCTAAAACTTGACTACACACTGGAATCACACCTAGGGAACTTTAAAAGGTACGAAGGTTTAGGTCCAACCTAGGTTTGCTGATTTAACTGGTTTGGGCTGTGGCCTGAGAACATGGATATTAAAACTCTCCAGGTGGTTCTATGCAGTGGCTAGGTTTGAAGACCACTGGCTAAATGTCCCAAAGACTAAGAGATGTTTGCTGGGGACAAGGCAATTCTCACAGTAGAAAGAGGCTTTCCGGACAGGATTATTATTATTGAGAATTGAGAATTCATATGCCACATAATTTATCCTTTTAAAGTGTACAGCTCAGTGGCTTTTAGCATAATCGCAAGGTTGTGCCACCATCACAGCTATCTACATGAAAAGATTTTCTTCTTTTTTTTAGGCTAGTCAAGTGAAATAGTGGGAGTGAGTAAGAAACAAAGACATCCATACTGGTTGTGATCAATTAGGTGTAAACACCAGTACACTCAGACCAGCCTAAGCGGGAAGATTTTAAGGATATGGTGTGGTCTGATGGGCTCCAGGCAGAGGTGACAGTGACCTGGATTAGGGACATGGCTTAGGCAGTGGCATCCTGGTGGGATAGGGTGAGGAGATCCCAGAGCTCACTTTTACTGCAACCCTGAGGAGATGTCACCAGAGAAATGGGTGTGACATTTCCCCAAACAGCAGGTTTTGGCAGCTGTGGTTTCCATGGTAGAGTGGAAGCATCCTGTGTGACATTCAGCAGATGTGGCGCTGTGCGTGGCTTGGAACACTCTGGTTACAACTGGGGCAGGCACCGTGTTTAGGAAGCTGGTGTAGTAACCTAGGCTGAAGGGAGGGAAAAGCCTAGACCAAGGCAGTGGCTGTGGGATTGAAATAGGGTTGGAGGAGCTGACTTTGACTCCTGGAGATGAAGGGGAAGGAGGAAATCAGAAGGGACCAAGGATGGTGATGCTCTAAAGAGAAACGGAGTAATGTGGTGGGAGACATGTAGAAAGTTCTTGTGGATCTGTCACACTGGAGGGACTGTGGCCCCGGAGGTACAGATGTCCTAAGGCAGGCTGGGAAAGGGAGTCTGGAGAGAGCTTGGTGTTATAGTGAACCATGGAGAGCCGCGACCTTGGCCCTGTGATTAGCCAGGGACTGAATAGAGAGGCGGCCCTGCGAGACCTCAGACACTTAGAGGATATTATGGGGTGAAGGGGGACCTGGTTTCGAGTCGAAGGGAAGAGAAGGAGATTCTAAAGCTGAAACGTCTAAGAGTTTGTCGTCTGAGCGGTTCTCCTGAGGCAGGTGCTGCTGAGAGGCAGAGGTGACTGAGATCCGGAAACAAGTCTGCAAATCTGGTCACTGCTCTCATTGCCAGTAACGTTGTGCGCGGCTGAGGGAGTGTGTCGGGAGAATAGCCGCGCGTTGTCTGTCCTGGAAGGAACAAGCCAATGAGAGTCGGCCGGATGGGGCGACCGGCGAAAGGGGCTTGGTGAGGCCCGCGCTCCTTAGGGTGGGGGTGCGGGGATGGGTGGTGGCGATGCAGAGAGGGCGGCAGGGCCCTGGCCATGCTCCTCAGGTTGGAGCTGTACCCTCAGCTACTCACAGCAGGTCCCCGCTTTTGGCTGCGCTCCCATTCGTCTGGGCCCCTGGTACCGCCGGCTACAGTTCCCCGAGTCTCAAGCCTCTAGAAATTTCCGAGCGTGGCCCCGCCCTCTCCGCCAAGTATGGACTAAGTGGTGCCGAAGTTGCCGCCTTCATTTTCATTGGAGGAGCGGTTGTTGCGCTTAAATATCAGCGCGGCCTTCTCCCCGGCTCCGCTCAGTCACATGTGCTTCAGCAGCTGAGACGGTGGCGACGTCGGGCCATGACGCTGGTTTGGGTCCTGCTGTTTCTGGCCGGCGTCTTCTCTTTTGCAGCCCCAGGAGCCGCCGCTGGTGAGTGGGGTTCCTGGCGGCCCTCCGCGGAGCGGGAGTGGCGGGGCGTTTCCGGGGGTCCCGGTGGGTCGCGGTGAGCGCGGTGCGGTCCGGGCGGCGCTCAGACGCGGGGTCGGGGGTGCGGGGAGCTGGACGCGGCCCGTGGCCGCCACACCTCAGCCCTGCTTTCCGGTCTCTTTTCTGTCCTCCTCGGGACCGCGCATCACCCACCCCTGCATTTTCTTGTCCTTCACTTGCTCTCCTCGCCTCGCCTCTGCCTCCTCTCACTTCGGACGAACCAGCCCTTCTGAGACCCCTGGGGTCCCGGGCTGCGCCCTCCACCCCGGGCTGCTCCTGTGAATGGAATTTGAGAGCCCTCCCAGCTCGGCCACTGAGGCAGCCGCATCTCCCGGTGCTGGGGGCGGCTCCCAGGTCCCTGAAGCCCAGTCCTCTCCCCGGAGCCAGCGGGTTCTCAGCTCCCGGGCAGCAGCTCCTGTATTTGGGGCCCTCCTTTCTCGGGACCTGGAGCTGGTGGTGCTTTCTGCTGCTGTGGGGACTGTGAGGGTGGCTGAGGGGAAAGGGGGTTGGAGGCTGCAGGTTCCGGGCAGAGGATTCTTCCCGCGACTTCTCTCATTCCTGGCTCATTCTCCCCTGGCCCCCTACTCCTGGGGGGATTGGGGGGCCGGGGTGAGGGGGTCCTCTCCACTCTGGCATCCCACCCCTACTAATGACCAGTGATCTAAGGGCACCAGATTCCCTGCCCCATTCTCCCCTGCCCATCTCAGGGCCCTCTGGGTCCTGTTGCCCTCCCAGCTCCTGCTACCACCACAGCAGGTCCCTCCTGTCTCCCTTTTAGGCCTTTCCTATAAGCAGCCTTCATCCAGTGGTGACCCTATACCTCCCATTCCCACCTGTCCCTGACCCTCACTTTCTCATGCTGCCTTTTGTGAGGGCGGGGGGACCTTCCCTCCATCCCATTCCCCTCCAGACCACCCAAGGGGAGCCCTGGTGCTAATGACAGTTCGGTCTTAGGCTGGACACAGGGCAGTGCAGATGCCCCCTCCCCTCCAGTGCAGGTGCCTGCTCTGGGCCCTGCCTCATGGTGGCCCTTTCTCCTCTCCTTTATCCTCAGCCTCACCTTCTGGAGGACCCCACCCTCCAGCCCACAGGTGCTGGACCATCCCTCCCTGGTCCCTCTGCCCCTCTCCACCTGGGGACCTTGCGTTGCTCCTACCTCTTGCTCACCTGCCTTGGGCCCTCAGCAAGTTCTCATCTTTCCCAAACACCACCCCCCACAGAGCACCCTCCCCTCCTGTCCTCACCCCAATCCAAGTTCCTCCACAGTCACTCCTGCCCCACGCTCACGCTCACGCTCCCCTCCAGTTCTTGCTCTGCCCATCTCCCCTCCCCAAACCAGACCTAAAACAGGCTGTTGGTCCAACTGTTCTTGACCTTCATTCTTTTCTTTCGGTTCCTTGACCCCAGTGGGCTCTCACTCCCTACACCACACACCTAAAATCTTTGTTTTCCCTGCTCTGGGGTGACTGTTCCCCCTCCAGCACTACTTTTGGCAGGCCCTTCCTCAGGCTGGGAGTCTCCCCCTCTACCTTGGTTTTCTCTCTATGTCCAGTACCCCCAACCCTTGCTTTTGTTAAAATTTTTAACTTTTGTCTGAGTATGTAGTACATATTTATTTATGGAGTACATGGCATATTTTAATGCAGGCATGCAATATGTAATCATCACATTAGGGTAAATGGGGTATCTATCACAAGCATTATCCTTTCTTTGTGCTGCCAACAATCCCATTGTGCTCTTTCAGTATTTTTACATGTACAGTAAATTATTGTTGACTTACCCTGCTGTGCTATCAACTAGATCTTATTCATTCTAACTATATTTTTGTAACCATTAACCATCTCACTCCCCACTCCCCACCACCCTTCTCAGCCTCTGGTAGTCATCATTCCATTCTCTCTCCCCATGAGTTCAGTTGTTTTAGTTTTTGGCTGCCAAAAACAAGTGAAAACACTTAAAGTTTGTCTGTCTGTACCTGGTTTATTTCACTTAACATAATGATCTCCGGGTCTGTGCAAATGACAGGACGGCTGAATAGTACTCCAAATACACATGTGCGCCACGTTTTCTTTATCCATTTGTCTGTTGATGGACACTTAGGTTGCTTGCGGATCTTGGCTATTTTGAATAGTGCCTCAATAAACGTGGAAAAGTAGATAGCTCTTTAATATACCAGTTTCCTTTCTTTTGGGTATATGCCTAACAGTGGGGGTGCTGTAGCATATGACGGTTCTATTACGTTAGTTTTGGGGAATCTCCACATTGTTTCCCATAGTGGTGTATAGTTTACACTCCCACCAACAGTGTTCAGGGGTTCTCTTTTGCCACGTCCTTGCCAGCATTCCTCATTGCCTGTCTTCTGGATAACAGCCATTTTATCTGGGGTGGGATGACATCTCATGGTAGTTTTGATGCATTTATCTGATGACCAAGGATGCTGAGCACCTTTTCATATACCTGCTTGCCATTTACATGTCTTCTTTTGAGAAATGACTATTCCGATTTTTTGCTCATTTTTAACTCCGATTATTAGATTTTTTTCCTATAGAGTTGTCTGACCTCCTTATATGTTTCACTTACTAATCTTCTGTCAAATGAATAGTTTGAAAATATTTTCTCCCATTCTTGGATGGTCTTTTCACTTTGTTTATTGTTTTATTTGCTATGCAGGAGGTTTTTCTTCCTTTTTTTTTTTTTTGTGGGGAGTTGGTCTTTCTCTGTGGCCCAGGCTGGACTGCAATGGCACAGTCTCGGCTCACTGCAACCTCCTCCTCTCGGGTTCAAGCAATTCTTCCATCTCAGACTCCTGAGTAGCTGGAACTACAGGCACATGCCACCACACCTGGCTAATTTTTGTATTTTTAGTAAAGATGAGACCGTGTTGCCAGGCTGGTCTTGAACTCCTGAGCTCAGGCAATCCACCTGACTCAGCCTCCCAAAGTGCTAGGATTACAGGCATGAGCCACTGCGCCTGGCCTGTTTCCTTTGCTGTGCAGAAGCTTTTTAACTTGATATGATCCCATTTATGCAGTTTTACTTTGGTTGTCTGTGCCTGTGGGGTAGTACTTAAAAAATCTTTGCCCAGTTCAATATCCTACAGTTTCCCCAGTGTTTTCTCTTACAGTTTCCTAGTTTGAGGTCATAGGTTTAGGTCTTTAATCCATTTGATTTGATATTTGTATATGGTAAGAACTAGGGACATAATTTTATTCTTGCATATGGATATCTAGTTTCCCCAGCACCATTTATTAAAGACACTTGCCTTTACCTAGTGTGTGTTCTTGGTACCTTCGTTGGAAATAAGTTCACTGTAGATGTCAGGATTCGTTTCTGGGTTCTCTGTTCTGTTTCATTGGTCCATGTGTCTGTTTTTATGCCACTACCATGCTGTTTTGGTTCCTGTAACTCTGGAGTATAAATTGAAGTTGGATAATGTGATTCCTCTAGTTTTGCTCTTTTTGCTCAGGAGAGCTTTATCTATTCTGGGTTTTTTATGGTTCCATGTACATTTTAGGATTATGTTTTCTGTTTCTGTGAAGAGTGTCATTGGTGTTTGATAGGGATTGCATTGAATCTATAGATTGCTTTGGGTATTATAGATATTTTAACAAAATTCATTCTTCCAATCCATGAACATGGAATATCTTTTTCACTTTTTGTGTCCTCTTCAATTTTTTACATCAGTGTTTTATCATTTTTATTGGAAAGACCTTTCACTTCGTCAGTTAAGTTTATTCCTAGGTATTTTATTTTATTTGCAGCTATTGTAAATGGGATTCGTTTTTTATTTCTTTTTCAGATTATTTGCTGTTGGCATGTAGAAATGCTACTGATTTTTGCATGTTGAATTTGAATCTCCAACTTTAATAAATTTGTTCTTCAGTTCTTATAGTTTTTTGGCGGAGTCTTTAGGTTTTCCCTAATATCAGAGCACATGACCTGCAAACAAGGATAATTTGACTTTTTCTTTTCCAGTTTCCATGTCCTTTATTTCCTTCTCCTGTCTGCTCTAGCCAGGACTTGTAGTACTGTTTTGAACAACTGTGGTAAAAAGTAGTCATCCTTGTCTTGTTCCAGATCTTAGAGAAAAGGCTTTCAGTTTTCCTCCATTCAGTACGTTACGAGCTGTGAGTTTGTCATATATGGCTTTTATTATATTGAAGTCTGTTCCTTTTATACTGTTTTTTGAGAGGTTTTATCATGAAGGGATGTTGAATTTATCAAATGCTTTTTCAGTATCAATTGAAATGATGGTATGGTTTTGTCCTTTATTCTGTTGATATGATGTATTATACTGATTGATTTGTGTATGTTAAACCATCCTTGCATATCTGCAATACATTCCACTTGGTCATGAAGAATGACCTTTTTAATGTATTGCTGAATTTTGTTTGCTGGTATTTCATTGACAGTTTTTACATCAGTGTTCATCAGGGATATAGGCCTGTCGTTTTCTTTTTTATGTGTCTTTGCCTGGTTTTGGTATCAGGATATTCCTGGCTTTGTAAAATGAGTTGGGAAGTATTCCCTCCTCTGTTTCTCAGAACAGTTTGAATAGGATTGGTATTTCTTCTTCTTTAAATGTTTAATTGTGGTAAAGTGTGCATTATACAAATTTTACTGTTTTAACCACTCTTAAGTGTACACTTCGATGACATTAGATACATTCACATTTTCGTGCAACCCAACACTCTGTACCATTCATCAGTAACTCCCCATTTCTCCCTACCTCTGGCCCCTGGTAACCACCATTCTACTTTTTGTTTCTATGAATTTGACCACTCTAGGTACCTCATTTAGGTAGAATCATGTAATGTTCGTCTTTTTGTTTCTGGCTTATTTCACTTCTACTATTTTTGAGGTTCATCCAGGTTGTAATATGCGTCAGAATCTCATTCCTCTTAATGATAAATAATACTCACTATATGTATGTACCACCTCTTGGTTATCCATTCCTCAGACAATGGACACTTGGATTACTTCCCACCTTTTGGATGTGGGCAATTATGTTGCTATGATAATGGGAGGCCAAATATTTCCTCATGTTCCTGCTTTTATTTCCTTTGGATATACACCCAGAAATAGATTGTTGGATCATATGGTATTTCATTTTTTTAATTTTAGAGGAATTACCATAGTGTTTTCCATTGAAGGAGGTGTGCCATTTTATATTTCCAGAAGCAGTACACCGGGGCTTCAGTTTCTCCACCTTGTGTGTGTGTGTGTGTGTGTGTGTGTGTGTGTGTGAGATAATAGCCATCCTGATTGGTTTGAAGTGGTATGTCATTGTGGGTTTGATTTGTATTTTCCTAATGACCACTGATATTGAGCATCTTTTCACGAGTTTATTGATCATTCGTATATTTTCTCTGAAGAATTGGCCATTCAAGACTTTTGCCCATTTTTGCCCCACGTAGCTTCGCTTGGCTACTTTGCCCATTTTTGAGTGGGTTGACTGTTTCATTCTTTTCATCAGACTTCCTTATGTATTCTGGAAACTAATCTCTTATCAGATGTATGATTTGCAATATTTATTTCATTTCAGGGGTTGATTGCTTATTCACATTGATGCACAGATGTTTTAATTTTCATGAGTCCAGTTTCTATTCTGTCTGTGCTTTGGTGTCACATCCATGAAAGCACTGTCAAATCCTATGTCATGAAGATTTTTTCTTGTAAGAAATTTTTTAAATTGCATTTTAGGTTTTGGGATACATGTGAAGAACATGCAAGATTGTTGCATAGGTACACCCATGACAGTGTGATTTGCTGCCTTCCTCGCCATCACCTATATCTGGCATTTCTCTCCATGCTATCTCTCCCCAACTCCCCACCCCCCTGCTGTCCCCTTCCTATTTCCCCCCGACAGACCCCAATGTGTGATGCTCCCCTCCCTGTGTCCATGTGTTCTCATTGTTCCAACACCCACCTATGAGTGAGAACATGCAGTGTTTGATTTTCTGTTCTTGTGTCAGTCTGCTGAGAATGATGGTTTCCAGGTTCATCCATGTCCCTACAAAGGACACAAGCTCATTGTTTTGATGGCTGCATAGTATTCCATGGTGTATATGTGCCACATTTTCCCTGTCCAGTCTATCATCGATGTGCATTTGGGTTGGTTCCAGGTCTTTGCTATTGTAAACAATTGAATGCAATGAACATTCGTGTGCATGTGTCGTTATAGTAGAACGATTTATAATCCTTTGGATATATACCCAGTAATGGAATTGCTGAATCAAATGGAATTTCTATTTCTAGGTCCTTGAGGAATCACCATACTCTCTTCCACAATGGTTGAAATAATTTACACTCCCACCAACAGTGTAAAAGTGTTCCTACTTCTCCACATTCTCTCCAGCATCTGTTGTCTCCAGGTTTTTTAATGATCGCCATTCTAACTGGCATGAGATGGTATCTCAATATAGTTTTGATTTGTATTTTTCTAATGACCAGTGATGATGAGCATTTTTTCATATGTTTGTTGGCCTCATGTATGTCTTCTTTTGTAATGTGTCTGTTCATATACTTCGCCCACTTTTGAATGGGCTTGTTTGTTTTTTTCTTGTAAATCTGTTTCAGTTCTTTGTAGATTTTGGATATCAGTCCTTTGACAGATGGGTAGATTGCAAAAATTTTTTCCAATTCTGTTGGTTGCTGATTCACTCTAATGACTGTTTCTTTTTCTGTGCAGAAGCTGTGGAGTTTGATTGGATCCCATTTGTCTATTTTGGCTTTTGTTGCCAATGCTTTTGGTGTTTTGGTCATGAAGTCCTTGCCTACACCTATGTCCTAAATGGTTTTGCCTAGGTTTCCTTCTAGGGTTTTTATGGTGTTAGGTCTTATGTTTAAGTCTTTAATTTATCTGGAGTTAATTTTAGTGTATGGTATCAGGAAGGTGTCCAGTTTCTGCTTTCTGCACATGGCTAGCCATTTTTAAGTTTTAGTTTTTGAGTTAAGAGTTTAGGTCTTTCATTCATTTTGAGTTAATTTTTGTATAGAGTGCAAATTCAGGGTCCGATTTGATTTTATTTGAATATCCAGTTCCCCCAGCACTATTCACTGAAATGTGGACTGACTCTTTGAGACCCTGTCATCTGCCCACCCCAGTAGACACTGGCTGGTCCATGCACTTGCCTGTCCTGAGGCCTTATCATGCTATCATGCCACTCTCCTTTGGACCCAAGCCCACACCATTGCTTCCCTCTGGGATACTGACCCCACTATAAACTTCTCTGGGGCGACAACCGTCCTGCCCCTTGTGCCTCATGACCACCCCTCCCTTGCCCTACCATGCCCATGATGAATCTTTTCTCGAGGCAGCTCCCCTTGCCTCCATCTCACCATCACCTGTGCACCACAGCCACACTGGACATGGGTTCCTCTGAGCCTGAGTCCCTTCCCATCCCCCGCCTCCCCTCTGGCAAGACCTTCCTTCCACTACTGCCTTCATGTTCCTCCATTGCCCCTGCATGGCAGCCTCTCCCTGTGGTCCTTATACCCTCAGGGGGCCTGTGGCCACCCAGCCCTGGCACCAGGCCTACAAGTTTGCCATCTCCATTCCCCCTTCTTCCATTCCTCAGTCCCTTCCTCTATCCTCCCACCTTCCCAGTTTTCCTTGTATATGAAACCCTCATTCTTGTTCCTTTGCCCATGTGCATTTCCTGCCTCCTCAGGAAGGTCGATACAGCAGACCTGTGTGTTAAGGATCGATGTGAAGTTACTTCCAGGGAGAAGTTTCATCTGTGATTTTCTCTTCCCCAGAGCCCCACAGTCTTGTTTATAACCTCACAGTGCTGTCCTGGAATGGATCTGTGCAGTCAGGATTTCTCGCTGAGGGACATCTGGATGGTCAGCTCTTCCTGCGCTGTGACAGGCAGAAATGCCCAGCAGGGCCCCAGGGACAGTGGGAAGAAGCAGTCCTGAGAGCTGAGACCTCAAACACTGAGATCGAGGACTTGAGAGAGAATGAGAAGGACCTCAAGATGACCCTGGCTCATAAAAAGGGGCAGAAAGGAGGTGAGAGTGGGCAGGGAGAGGCCTTTTCCAGAAAATTTAGGGGCAGAGAGCAGGGACCTGTCTCTTGCCACTGGATCTGCCTGGGGCTGGAGGTGGGAAAGGGGGATCAGTGGAGCTCAGCAGGAAGGTGAGCCAGCACAGGGAGGTACGGAGGAGAGCCAGGGAGGGGTTCCCGCTGGGCTGAGTTCCTCACTTGGGTGGGAAGGTGAGGGGTTCAGGAATGGAGAAGTCACTGCTGGGTGGGGGCAGCCTTGCATTCCCTCCAGGAAATTAGACTCTGTGAGATCCATGAAGACGGCAGCACTAGGGGCTTCCGGCATTTCTACTCTGATGGGAACCTCTTCCTCTCCCAAAACCTGGACACTCGGGAGTGGAACGTGTCGCAGTCCTCCAGAGTTCAGATCCTGCCTATAAACATCACGAAGGTCTTGGAAGAAAATGCAAAGAAAGCTGGCGCTGTGCTGGCAGACTGCCTGTGGAAACTACGGCGATATCTGGCATCTGGGGCAGGAGTCAGGAGAACAGGTATGGACCCTGGGCAGGAGCTCTCCTCTCCCCACAGTTCTGCTAGAGTTGCCTCACCCCCCAGCTCCGACCCGGGAAACCTGCTCAGTGCTGTGGATGCAGGCGTGTCCTGTTGGCATTTCCTGTCCTGATTTTCCTCTCCTGTCAGAGCCACTGGATAAATACGGTGGGTCTGGGACTGAATCATTCAGTGTTGTAATCTGGGAAATCAGGTCCTCCAACAGAATCCTGAGCCTGGGGTGGGTGTCAGGCAGGAGAGGAAGCCTTCAGGGACAGGGCTGCCCCATCTGCCTCCGAGCCTGCCCATCCCAGAGAGTTCCTTCCTGGCCCCAGACCCAGGAGTTCACCCATAACATTCCCCTCCTCAGCATCATTGTGGGGATCCTAGAACTTAAGGCTGCAGTCCTGAGGCCCATCCTCCTGCCAGCCTAGAGGAACTGGACCCCAGGGTGAGGACAGACTTACAGAAGGTCTGAGGTCTGTGAGGGCTTCAGCCAGAGTGGGAACAGTGGAGAGGAGCAGCCCTGTTCCCTGCATCTCTCTTAGAGGGGAGCAGGGCTTCACCGACTCTGCACTTTCTTCTCCAGTGCCCCCCATGGTGAATGTCACCCGCCTCAAGGACTCAGATGGCAACATCAATGTGACGTGCTGGGCTTCCGGCTTCTATCCCCAGAATATCACACTGACATGGCGTCAGGATGGGGTATCTTTGAGCCAGGACGCCCAGCACTCGGAGGGTGTCCTGCCTGATGGGAATGGAACCTACCAGACCTGGGTGACCATCAGCATTTGCCAAGGAGAGGAGCAGAATTTCACCTGCTACATGGAACACAGTGGGAATCACAGCACTCACCCTGTGCCCCCTGGTGAGCCTGGGGTGACCTTGCAGAGGGTCAGCTGTGGCTCTCTGCCTGGTGCATAACAAGTGCCTTTTTGCAGGGAAGGTGCTGGTGCTTGAGAGTCAATGGCCAGCCAATCTATATGTTCTTGCTGCTGCTGCTCCTACTGCTGCTGCTGCTGTTATTGGTATTATTCTTCGCTGGGTCCTTCATTGCAGGAAGAAGAGAACATCCTCTGCACAGCATCCAGGTGAGAAAAGGGGGCAGTGGCTGGAGATGGGAAGGCTCCTGTCTGCGCAGCAGCATCCCCTCATTGCTCCTGCACAGATAGGCATGTAGGTGAACAGGCTTCTGGAACAGGGGTTGAAAGTTGGGGTATTTGGGAGGGGAATGGGAGCCACATCTCCATCTGCACCCCTAAATCCTTCTGAAGCAAGGGCCAGGGAAGGCCCTCAAATGTCTAGCTGTGGCCTCTTCTTGCTGCAGGTAAGGAGTGGCCAGCAGGGACGGCCGTGGCACCTACTCTGTCCCCATCTCAGTGTCTCTGTCTCTCGGGCTCACTAGGGCGCGTCCAGGTGGGGTGAGTTGGGAATCACATGCGGAGTGCTGAGGGCCTGGATGATCACAGCCTCAGAGGGAGCAAATAGTAAAGGCAGTTGTGATCTGGGGAGGGCTAGAAACTGGAGAGGAATCTGAGAGGAGGCGGTGCCCCGAGTCCCTTCCTCTCTGCATCCCTCTCCCCTGTTTCTCCAGCCATTTGGTGGAGGGACACGCCAAGGAAAAGATATATGAAGCCTGGACCGGGGGCCCTGCCTGTGGAGCCCCTTGGAGGCCCTCTTGTAACAAGGAGGGTCCTGGTCGCACACGGCCTTCTCTGTCTGCTTTGCAGCTCCCCATGGGCCTCCTCCAGGAGCTGCCTCGCGGGTGTCATGTCCTTTGTGTCACTTAAGGCACTGCTCTTTCCAGTTTCCCACCACTTGGCCTCCCTGAGTTTCCATGCAGATGATATGGATAAGCAGATGTCTGTGGGCCATTTGAGGGGCAGGGCCCAGCACCTCATCAGGGCAGCTGCAGTCTCTGTTCTCATTCTACCTCCAAGTGTTTTCTTCTCCAGTCCCTAAGGGACACAGTCCCCAGGGACCATGTTTCTGGGGCTTTGTTCTGTGCTCTGTGGCCTGACCTTGCCCTCCCTGAGGCTATATCCCTTTCTAAAGGTGGTCACTGCCTGGTAAGTTTGGAGTAAGGGACAGTCAGGATCATTTCCCCCACAGTCCGGTTGTTTGATGGGAGATGAAAAGAGAAAGTAGGAAGTTTTGTGTTTCTGCAAAAACAGAGGCAGTGCAGGGGACAGTGAGAGGATGGAGCGTCCAGGAGACCTGGGTCTTTCTGTCATTTCCCCACTTCTGCGTGCCTGGCCGTAGGGGTGGTGGTTTCTCATTGCTCTGTTTGCCCCTCAGGCCTGGGCAGATGGGAAGGTTCATCCCCTGCCCTGCAGCATCAGGGCCCCGTCCAGGAGGCACCCGCAGCAGGGGCAGAGCAGGTGTATGGTGGCTCCTGCTCTCACCTGCGGAGTCTCCCGTAGAGGGATTGTCAGTTCTGGTTTTCTGTGAGCGTGACTGGCTTCCTCAGAGGTCATTGGGAGTTTGGCCAGGAAAAGGGTATGAAAGTCATGTGCCAATTTCTCAAAATTCCTGCTTTCAACGTTGATGTCCCATAAAGACGTTCGTAATCTCAGCTCTATGATCTTGACAGAATTTCCTCTAATACTGATGTTGTAAAGCATACTCAATGAAACAGGAACTCAAATTTGGAGCTCCCACTCCAGGAGGGTCTGTGTGGGAGATGGTGGCTATGACTGTGGCAGTTCCCAGGTGCAGCAGGTGCACAGAGGCCTCAGGCTAAGGGGTCCCCCCTACTCCACATGGAGAAAATCCCTTATAGGTTGCAAGGGCAGTGTCCTAGGTGGAATCCCTGCTAAAGACAGGGCAGGAAGGCCTCGAAGCCTTGCCAAGCAGCAGCCGTGGGGTGGAGCTGCGTTTCCAGGGATAAGTGGACCAGGCGGGAGCAGTGGGGACTCTAGAGCAGGTCACAGGCCTGGGTGGGTGCTAAGTGCCTCCTGAAGCAAACTGGGGGTCCCAGGGTCACGTAGTGATCCTGTGACAGCCACGTCTTTCCATGCTGAGCCTGCTGGGCACCCTCAGGCTTCTTGATGGGGTCCCCAGTTAAGAGCTGCCAGCTCTGGGCTGGGAGGGGAGGAACGCCGAGCCACAGGTATCGGGCAGAGCCCACGGTGGGCAGGGCCTGCCCTGGTGTGCAGGTGCCTCTGCAGGAGAGGAGGGCCTGGGGACTGAGGGCAAGGGTCAGGGCCTCTCTTCGGGGAGGCCTCTCACTCTAACAGAACTGGTCAGGCCTGAGCAGAGGGGAGGACACTGGGTTCCCTCTTGCGTCTTATGCTTTAGTCTTGGGGCCCTTTCACTCCCTGCCTGATGGGTGGTGGGCACAGGGCAGGTGCTGATGTTGATGGAGTGATGGGAGGAAACTGGCAGGGGCTGGGAAAAGCTGGGTGGGAGGAAGAAAACAATGAGGGCCTCATATTCCCTCAGAGAAAGGGAGAATCTGATTTTGGAGCAACTGAAGAGAGAAAAGTCCTCAGGGAATGAACACAACATTCTGCACCCAGTGGAGCATTCACCGGTTTCTCTCTTTTCTCCAGAGCTCGTGAGCCTGCAGGTCCTGGATTGACACGTGGTTGGGACAGGAGACCACAGGGTTGCCACACAGCTGGGATTTCAGCCTCTGATGTCAGCTCCTGGGCCCACTGGCTCCACTGAGGGTGCTGAGACTCTGCAGCCAGGCGGCTGGGATTCAGCTCCCTGCCTGGATCTCACCAGCACTTTCCCGCTTGGTGCCTCAGTTCCCTGACCTATGAAGCAGAGAACGTAAGAATGGTGTCATCTTCACCTCTGGAGAGATCTCTGTCACTGTGTTCAGGGAAAGGACCAGCCTCACTCCCCATGCAGAGAGGAATCTCTGGCTGTGATCCAGCCTGTGGAGAGTGAGGACCTCCTCCCTCTACAGTGATGGCCAAGAACCTGCAGGTGACAGGGAAGCTTCCTCTCAGTGTGTCCTATCAGGTTCTTCCAGGCATCACGGAACAGACCCGGGACATTTCCTCCAGTGACATGGCCACACCCAGAAGTGAGGTGGCCCTGCCAGGGGCTCCTGGGGCTGCCACTTGTTTTGGAGCTCAGTGTCTGGAGATGGGTGTGAGGAGTAGGCTTTGTGCAAAACATAACTGTGACCCATAAATTATTTTATGCTTCTTCTTTTAAGAAGAAATAAATAAAATAAAACAAGTACCAAAAAAGAAAACCTGTCTGAAAATGTTGCTCTTCAAAAGGTAAACACGCTTTAAACACCAGAGAGATAGAAGCTTGTCAGCCAGCCCAGAAACCCCATCGTCTGCCCCAGCTCAGTGATGAACTCTTCCCTCCCCCACATAAAATCACAGCCTGACTTATGATCATCACTTCTTTGTTCTATTTTATATTTTCATCATCTAAAATTGCAGTTTACTTTTACTTTGGAGTATATAATTTTTGTTCTTTTTTTTCTGTATGTTCCTCCTTGAAATGTATACTGTCTGCCTGAGTTTTCCAGTTTGCATTTTGCTGGCTCACCCCAAGGCGTGGGTTAATATGGGCCATTTTTATCTGTACTTTTATAAATTGGTAGTTGGCTGCAGACATTTGCTTATAGGCAAGCTAGATGATTTTCTTGACTACTTTATTTATGGCACTGCGCTGTTCTTCCATGAGGAAGAAGAACTTACTGATGGTTGTCTATTTTTACTATACTCTTAATTGCCATTGCTGTTCAATGGCTAAGTCTGTTAATTCATTATGTGTTGCAAAAGAATTATACTCTCCGTCTCTGATTCCTTCCTAATTTACTAGCTGAATAATATAAAAGAAGAGATTTACCCTCTCCTACTATTTGTTCGCTCAATAGAAACCTTTTTTTTTTTTATTGAGACAAAGTTTCACTCTTGTTGCCCAGGCTGGAGTGCAGTGATGCAAGCTTGGCTCACCACAACCTCCGCCTCCCAAGCGATTCTCCTGACTCAGCCTCATGAGTAGCTGGGATTACAGGCATGTGCCACCACACCTGGCTAATTTTGTATTTTCAGGAGACACGGGGTTTCTCTTTGTTGGTCAGGCTGGTCTCAAACTGCTGACCTCAGGTGATCCGCCCACCTTGGCTTCCCAAAGTGGTGGGATTACAGGCGTGAGCCACCACGCTCAGCTAGAAAATTGTTTTTTGAGAGAAGCAGCCAAGCATCCACTCACCTATGACCCAGCAATAGCACTCTTAGTTAAAAGCAGTAGAAATGCATGTGTGTTTGCCAAAATATATGAAAAATTATTCATAGCAGCACAGGTTGTAAAACCTAGATACAGCACAAAGGTCCATCAACAGAGGAGGGACAAGAGTATGAGCCATATATAAACTGGAGCACTTGACGGCCGTGGGAGTGAACAGGCTGTGACCACACACAGCAGATGATGAGCCCAACAAAGATGACGAGGCCGATGACGTGAAAACGACATAAGATTCCATTCAGTCAGTACCGCAGAACTAACCTACAGTGTTACAAATCAAGAGAGTGACTACTCTAGGGTGAGGAGGGTGGTTTATGAGTGAGTAGGACTCAGGGGTGTTTCTTGGAGGCGGGAAATCCTGTTGCTAGATGAAGATGTTGTTTACCTGAGTTTTCACTTGGTCAAAACCCACTGTCCACCTATGATTTCTCCCCCTTCCTTCATGCATGTTGTCCATTCAAGTACACATTTCTGGCATTTTAAAACAATTATCTCTAAGCTAATATGGAATTTCTCATACTACAAGTCCTTAAAAATGCTGCATTGAAAATACCAGGGACATTTTTTTAAATTCCAGGAAATAAATGCCCAGGACTCAGATATGAAGAGAAGAATATACAACAAGAGCAGTCAGCTTGGGAGCTGACACCAGAACAGCTTTGGAAATGGCTGTCGAGCCAGAAACTACGAATCAAACCCAAACAGAATCACAGGAGGTGAAGGATGTGAAATGATGCCCCAGCAGTGCCTGAATGAATGAATCATGGGCAGTGGCTCATGGGTTGCCTGGCCAGTCTGGAACTTGGGGAAATGAAAGTTGGAGAATTGAGGGGTGGAAGAGTGAAGTGTGCACTGACCTCTTTCCATGGGAAGAGCGTGTGAAGATAGAGGCTGCATGTGAATACCCACCAGAGGGTCTCCGAGGGGCTGGGGCTCACTGTAACCAGGTGGGCGAGATGGCTTGATGGATGATGCCACCCAGCCACACAGGGCTTGCTCATACAGTCCCTGCACAAAGTGGCCGAGGTGGCTGGGATGGACACTGCATGGGCACAGCAATTGAGTCACCACACACCAAGGCCGAGCTGGCAGCTGCCGCTGCTGAGAATCTAGCCTACCAAAGTCAGCTGTTTCTTTGAACAGAGAAAAAAACAGGCAATGTTAATTAGGAGCAAGACAGTGTTATGACAGATAAGTATGTTATGACAAAACACACTAATAAATACACATGATAAACATATGTTATGACAAAATAGTGTTATGACAGATAAATATGCCACTGCAGCTATAGTGGAGATGTAAACAATCTTGAAATAATAAAAAAAATTATGTCGAAAGAAAATACTTACTGCAAACAAAGAAGTCAAAACAGTTGTAAAATCCTATTTCTGTTCAGCCACATCGAGATTGTTTCACAGGGAAGTTCTACCAACCCTTCAAGGAAGGTTATTGGACTTGTTTAAAATATTCAAGAGAAAGGGGAAATACATAGAAAGCTAGAACACTCACTTTATAGATATGAATAGTGTTCACTCTAAAGCCAGTTAGGGAACAAATAACAAAGACACATGACAGAAAAATCACTATGAATAATTAGATTAAAATAGATGAGAAAAATAGCAGACTGTTTCCATCAGTGTGCTCTAAACAAACTAAATTTCTTGACCAAGTTTATTTAAATCCCAAGATTGCAAGAATATTTAAATCTATTAATGCATGTTACCACGTAATCCAATCATTTAAACAGAGACAATCATATTTCACTCGATCAGAAATCACTGCAGACGAAATTCCATACTACATCTTCCCTACATTTCTTCAGTTATCTCCACCTTTAAGAATTCGTGATCAGTGCAGCACCGTTCAATTAGCAAAGACAAGGAATCAACCCAGATGCCCATCAACAGTGGACTAGATCAAGAAAACGTGGTACGTGTACACCGTGGTGTGCTACTCCGCCACAACAACAAGAACGAAATCATGTCCTTCACAGCAACGTGGGTGGAGCTGGAGACCATTATTCTAAGCAAATTAATGCAGGAACAGAAAACCAAATCCCACATATTCTCACCTAGAAGTGGAAGCTTGACATTGGGTACACATGGACACAAAGAAGGGAACCGCAGACACTGGGACCTACTTTTGGGGGGTGGGTGGGAGGAGGGGAGGTTTAAAAAACTACCCATCGGGTATTGTGCTGATTACCTGAGTAACAAAATTATCTGCACACCAAACACCCATGATACGCAATTTACCCGTGTAACAAACCTGAAAGTGTATCCCTTGAACCTAAAATAAAAGTCTAAACGACAAAAGAAAAAAAGAATTCCAGATCAGACTGAGCTCACCTAAATAATCCAGGATAATCTCCCCTCTCAGTATCCACACCCTTAACCATATCTGCAGTTCCTTTTGTTATGTAAGATTATGTAACCGAAGGTTCTGGAGCTTAGGGTTTGAATACATTTGTGGGGCCATTATTCTGCCTTCTACAATTATTCGGTGGCTGAATGAGGTTTAACGTTAGTCTAATTAAACTCCTAGAAGATGAAAGGACAGTGACTGAAAGGAGGTATTCCATAATGAGGTGATGGCAAACTTTTAAGTAAAGGTCTACGCAGCCCAGTGAATGAAAGGAGATCCACATCGGCTCAGACTGCACTGGAACTTCAGACGGTAAAGACAGTGATCTTGAAAGCAGCCATAGAAGAAACAAAGGTCATTTAAAATGCATCTGGATTGGAACGTAGCTGACATCTCTCCCTGTCAGCCACAGTAGCCAGAAGAGACATCAGCATTCACCAGCTGAGGAAAACACCAACGTCAAACTGGGAATGTGTGGCTGTGAAACCCACCTTTCAACAATAAAACAAAAGGCCAGGCATGGTGGCTCACGTCTGTAACCCCAGCACTTTGGGAGGCCAAGGTGGGCGGATCACTTGAGGTCAGGGGTTTGAGACCAGAGCGGCCAAGATGGTGAAACTCCATCTCTACTAAAAATACAAAATTAGCCAGGCGTGGTGTCGAGCTCATGTAATCTCAGCTCCTTGGGAGGCTGAGGCAGGAGAATCGCTTGAACCCAGGAGGCTGAGTTTGCAGTGAGCAGAGATGGCTCCACTGCATTCCAGCCTGGACTACAGAGCAAGACTCCATCTCAAAACACAAAAACAAACCAAAACAAGAAATGAATAAAGCAAAGACTTTTTTTTTTTTAAGAAGGGGTTTCACCATGTTGGTCAGGCTGGTCTTGAACTCCCAACCTCAGGTGATCTTCCCGCCTTGGCCTTCAAAAGTGCTTGGTTATAGGCATGAACCACTACACCCGGCCAAAAACAAAGACTTTTTATAGAAATAAACTGTTGGTTTTTCAGCAAAATACTTCCTCTACAAATATTTAGAATGTCACTAAGATATATTTAAAAAGAAATAAAGCCTGGCACGGTCGCTCACCCCTGTAATCCCAGAACTTCTAGAGGCTGAGGCAGGGGTTCACCTGAGGTAGGGAGTTTGAGACCAGCCTAACCAACATGGAGAAACCCCTTCTCTACTAAAAATACAAAAAATTAGCTGGGCGTGGTGACACATGCCTGTCATCCCAGCTACTGGGGAGACTGAGGTAGGAGAATCGCTTGAACCTGGGAGGCAGGGGTTGCAGTGAGCTGAGATTGCGCCATCGCACTCCAGCCTGGGCAACAAGAGCGAAACTCCCTCTCAAAAAAAATGAAAAAGGAAGACCAAAAAATGAAAGGAAGGAACAAAAACAGAAAAATTAATTGGTAATCATAGATATATGGAAATTAATACCATTATTATAAAATATTAATCTAGACTTCAAAGGAAATAAATCATGTCAAACTCTTAATTTGTTATGTTGCACTTTGCTTATCCATCTTCCCACCTCCACCTAGGCTGTGCCATCCATGAGGTCCAAGGAAGTTTCATTCTTTTTTCTGAGACTGGTCCATAGAGAACAGGACCCAGAATAAGACA